TGCCCCCCCCCCTTCGTTTTCCAACCACACACACTCTTACCACACTATACCGGACCTTTCTTGCAGCAACCGTTGTCACCCACTGTTAAAGCTGTTTTTACAGGACCCATTTTTTGCCATTTCTCTCACTCACTCACTCTGATTTCTTGGTCAATGCGGTTCGCAATGTCCGACTAAAGCGTGTGTAAGGGAACCCCCCGATATTGTCGTCGTCGTCCCTCTATTTCCCAACCAATACTCTGCCGCCCATGTCGCCAACGCCACATCCGACGATGCATGCATGCTACTTCTCATTTTGTTCTTGTTACTTGTATTATTACACGAGAATATGATATACATACATACGTGGAAACAGGATTCGTTTCACGTGTACACACACACACACACGCACAGTGTGACCGAACAAGAAGGAATTGCGTTTGTCTCAGTCTCCGGGTTCTTTTTGTCACAGACGCGCGCGCACACACACACGCACATGACGAACAAAGTCGCCGCTTGGTTTATTGCGGTCGATATTATATGGGAAGGAATCGTCGCGAATGTGTGCGGTCGCGGTTCACGGAAGATGGAGGCGGGTCCACAAAAATGACTGATTGAATGGGTAAGTGAGTGAGGACATACGTTCAGGAAACCGGAAAACGTCGTTCACAAAGAGCCGAGCCGTGCTCCTCGTATTCTGCTCGAGTGACAAGGAAACGCTTCAAGTCTTCTGTTTGGTTGGACAATAAGGCACCACCCTCCCAGGCGTATGTTTGCGGACTGTGAAAGAGATAGGTTGGGATACGGGGAAGAGCGAGAGGGTGGGAAAATGCGAATGACTCCGATCCGATATCATCAAAATGAAGCCGTGTTAGTGTGTGTGCTTGTGCGCTCATAACAGAATGGGTTTTGGGTTTGATATAACAGTCTCAAGTTCTTAATGCGTCGGACAGCAACTTCATGGGCACCAATGTGGCTAGTGTGTTCCAAGGCAATGAAACGGATAATCACTAATCATAACTGGTGGCAACATGGACTGATCAGCTATTCGGGATGATAATGACGGGTATAAACTAACCGCGAATAAATAGCCCAGTTCTATAGATCGCTACTAACCAATTCAAACGGGAAACAAAGGAAACAGAATTGAAAATCATCTTGTTCAACTCATGCGAAATCACAGAAGTCCGGGAATGTGGGTATTGTGATTCTTACATGGTTTGTTCTTCTTGGTTGTGGGTTAAGTCCCCACATTTCTTTGATGCACTTTATTGGGGGGTGGGACTTATGGTGGTTTAGTGATCGATAAACAGTGTTTAACAGCTGCTTCATTTTCACTGGGACTCGTCGAATGTTTTATGCTCCCAACGGGGCTCGAACCACGAACGTTCTTCGGGTTGGGAGCTGAAACCTTTGACCTTGATCTACAGAAAAAAACAATTTGTGTGTAGGCGTGTGTTTCGTATTCGACATTTAACTATTGAGCAAGATAACTACTACCCAAGCAGAAAAAGATATTGGGCAATCGTAGGCACCAAATATGAGCAAGAATTAGATAAGTATGAATGGTCCATTGTTAACCGATTACTTTACAGATCTCTGTTTACGTTCTACTTCTAGGCAACTAATTCTTGCACTAGGATAAGTTGGATACAGGTTTGGTGCAAACGCGCTCGATGTAGTCATTTCCCAAGCAAACTGTTCGCAGATGAAACGCATTGGAAGATGGAGATTTCATCAAGTAGTTCAACTGTAAGCATACGAAAACAGTCCACTTCTAGTACCGCTCCTGACCGAGGACGGAGCAAGTGGAAATAAAACGGGGCATCGGTGGACCATGAAAAAAACGACTAAATCGTTCTTACGCAGTAAACAAGATGCGAGACCCTGTTGAGATTGTTGGTTCGCGGCTATGGCTGAGTGAGTTAGCCGTTTACGGGTGGATAGACTGATAGTTATCGCCTCAGCGCGTGGCGTATGTGAGGAGCGGGGTGGCACAGAACCAGAAAGATCGATTTTACCCTCAACCAGTAGACTATATTAACGATACTGGCAATCCTTATGGTGTCTTCCCGATATGTTATCGTTGATGTGTGCAAAGATGCTTAAACTTTTATGAAGTTGCTTCACTGTGGGACCATTTCCCATTACAAACATCGCGGATGAGATATACGATACGCGAAACCTGGATTTATGGATGTTTTAATTATTGAAGAACTTGCACAAACGCAAGCAGTTGTAGGATTCGATTCGCCATTTTTACCGTGGCTACGTCTGAAATGCGAACACATCGTTTGGCGCGGTTTATTCTATCGACCAGTGTAATTTTTACATCCAGAATGACACTACTCGTTGAATTCAGTAGTCAGATTCGAAAATGTATTACGCTAGAGATACAAGCATCGTGCACGCTTGTGCATTTGACCGAATGCATGTACTTTGCTTACTTCATACCGCCGAAATCCAAAAACCCAGTTGGAATCAATCGTCCAAACGGTTGAACACATAACCATTGTTCCACCGTACAGTTGTTAAAGACCAGTCTCCGCCGAGTGCATTTAGGTGAGCAAAATATCTTACTATATGGATAAACTATGTTTGAGATTTAGCAATTTCGTCACATTGTCGGTGTGGAGTACAGTCTGAATGACATCAGATTGTCTCTACCTATGTGGACAGAAACATGAGCTGAGGAACTGAACATCTGAAGTGAGTTTCCCCTCATATTCCAGATCCAGAGGACCACTGTTTCTCAACCCACTCTTCGGATCACAACCCATCGTTGACCAATGATTGCTGGAGGAAACTACGTTCTCATTCCGATTTCGTACATGAGCTTCGGGTGCGAACTAAGTCCTGCACCGATCGTGTAGGCACTATTTCCTCCCCGATTTCTCGCCACATATGGCTTTTCGGGAATTTGAGTATTGTTGGTCCAGGTTCTGGGACCCATTCGTTATTTCGGTTATTCCAGTGAAATGCAACTTCAGGTCATGGATTGCACACGCTCTGTTATGAATCATATGGTCGAATAAACGCTCAAGTTAAATATACCATTTTAAGTTAGATTTGATAAACTATAATTTTCAATTGCGAAACCGTCATTTTGAATAGAAAAATCATAACTTGTAATTGAGAAAGAATCGCTGTGGTTGGATCCACTTCCTTTCAGGGCACCTCATTGGTCAATTGATCATACATTTTTTCTATTCACGCTCTTTCTGTGAGGTAGACCTCAATCGTGCATCTTGTCGAGCTTTGTGACGGACGTCGAATCGGTGGGTCGGTGAAGCCATGCTATGTGCGTGTGACAACCAAGTCGGAAGCCACTCGATAAGCATGAAGGGTAACGCACTGTGTCGTGCCCATTACAGCTGAAGTACATTTGTTCGTAGTTGCTCTAACATTGGCGATAGCTCAATAATCAAAGCTGACCACAGCAACTACGACCAGGGACGAGTTTCAGGATTACGGTGCAATCCAAGCGACGCACGAGAATCATGGGTCTACTGGAATAACAGTATTCGTTCAGTGACAGAGGTTGGAGTTCTTGAGGTGAATTTGGGTGAATGGGCTGGTTGTCATCAATGGCCTAGCAACCAAAACCAGTTAAACCTTACGTGTAGCTCACACATTCCTGGTTTAACCCACAGAACTAAACGAATAAGAACGCAGTCGATCTGTATGGTAAAAAGGGTTACTCGTTTTCGGAATAAGTATTGTTTCTCAAGAAACATCGAAAAATTACATTTTTTATTGCACAGTGTGAATTACAGTAAACGGAGAAATCCCCACGGACAAATAGTATCTACTCTAGTGCATTTTATCAGAAAGTCATTGAACCATTCGGTCAAGTCTGTTTGTGTTTTTCTCGACTATTCGTCTGCGTTTGACTCTGTTTTCCGATCATCTCTTCTTTTCAAACTTCAATCTTTTGGTACTCCAAAACAACTGCTCTCACGGTTTGCTGACCATTTCACACCAAATTAGGAAGGAGGATATCAAAACCTTTTGTTAATAATTTTGGTGTTCTTCAAGGTGCTGTTCTATTCCCATATCTTTTTTCTGCCTTTATTAGTAATCTTTCAGTCCCATCCCCTGCGCACATCTAAAAGTATGCTGATGACATTGTTTTGTCAGACAGTTTCATCTCCGGAATTTCATTCTTTTACCGAAAACCTATCCCACATCCAACAGTTTTCTGACCAATCTGGTCTCAGTCTTAACTTATCTAAGTGCGTAGAATGTATTTTCAGTCTTTCCCGCTCCTCATTACCAGCAGACTCTGCTACCCTTAACGGTAAACCTGTATCCAGAATGACCTTAGTCAAGTACCTGGGTGTCACCATCGACAGTAACCTTCTACACATATCTACAGCTGTATGGGAAAACTGAGACGCATGTCTTTTCAGTTACGCAAACTCAAGCAATTCCGAACCCCACAGTCAGTGCTGTCATTTTTCGTTCATCAATGCGTTTTATCCATTCTACTTTATTACTCCACTGTAGTGTTTCCCGGTCTTTTAAAACAAGACTTCAAAACACTTCGCCATGGTTTGGTGGCAATCAGTCGTGCATCATTAATCCCAATCGATTTATTAATCACGGAACTCATTGGTGGTCACATCAACTCTTGTTTTAAATTTGCTCAAAAGATTCTAGATGATACTCTTCGTCCACACGCTTCTCATTTCAGCTAACATTTATAAAAATTCCCCTGTACCCTACTTGGCCCGACTACTTAACAAAAAGGAACAGGTCTCAAATGAACTAAGTCAAAAGTTTAGTACATGAAACATATGTCACCGACATTCTTTACTTTTTATTACTATTATTTCACTCTGCGTGACGAACAGTGTACATTTTTAACTGAAATATAAGCATATTTGCTCGTACAAGTTATACAAATACAAATAAATACAAATTCGGACAGACCACAAGAAAACGAGTGGATTCGATCTCTTTCAGTGTGTGTGTGTAAGCGCGAGCTGGCTGGTGATAATGAACTAAGACAAAATGTTTCATACAAATTTCCGTACTGGTCTACGCAACAGGTACGGAAGATATACTTGAAGGATATTGAGGGTTCACATAAACAATTGCACCGCGCGATGCATGCAACAGGGTAATCTTTGCCAACATGCATATAACTTGACTACATGTATCGAACACAATTAAAAATAATGGTACAATAATATCATGAATGATGCACTCACTTATTTGGTTTGAATATATTTACAGGTAAATCATCAGGAGCCATGGCACGAAGGTCAAGTTTTCTGAAGAAAAAGAAAAACAAGTAGACGAATATAATGTACTCAGGGTGGAATACAGATAGCAGACCATGGTGAGAAATCTGAATGAGTGGACATTATCACAGAAACCGGACAAAGCCACAAGACAGTTCAATTCCTCCAAAAGCTTCAACGCTATAATTCCTATTCACTAA